TTGTTTTCTGTGTGAAAGGAGGAACAGAAACTGACCCTGCATAAACAGCTGCCCACTTAACCATGAAAACAAACAGGGAAATAAACAAACTCTCTCCAAACTTTAAGGTACGGTTACCGTGGGCGTTCCTTGTAAGTAGAAAAAAATGTTAAGAAAAATGTAAGTTTCTGCTTTATAAGTAGCTTTGAAAAATGCTATTACTTATTGCCATCTCAAGTACAAAAAGAAAAAAATATTTCAAGTCACGTAAGAAACCCTGACGTGGGAAGGGTTAAATATACACTAGCTATTCTCAGGCTATGTCTAGACTGCAAGCCTCTTTCGAAAGAGTCTCTTTCGAAAGAGAGCGTCTAGACTGCACGTTGAACTTTCGAAAAAGCGGCTTGCTTTTTCGAAAGAAAGCATCCAGTGAGTCTGGATGCTCTCTTTCGAAGAAGCCCTATTTACATTCAAGAACGCCTTCTTTCGAAAGAGGAACTTTCGAAAGAAGGCGTTCTTCCTCGTAAATTGAGGTTTACCGCCGTCGAAAGAAAAGCCGCGTTCTTTCGATTTAATTTCGAAAACGCGGCTGCAGTCTAGACGCAGGTGAGGTTTTTTCGAAAAAAGGCTACTTTTTTCGAAAAAACCCCTGAGTCTGGACACAGCCTCAGAGTACAGATTATGAAAAGAAGAGCATGAAACCCAGTACAATCAAAATGAATCTGTGTCAAAATAGTGGTTAAAACACAGGCTTCTTGGGCAGATTATGAAAGGAAGAGCATGAAACCCAGTACAACCAAAATGAATCTGTGTCAAAATAGTGGTTAAAACACAGGCTTCTTGGGTCCTTTTCCTAACTCTGCCACTGATGTTGTGCAACTCTGCAACTTTACAGGGGAAATTGGGTAGGAAGCAACCAGATGGGATATGATCCAGGTGGATTCTCTCCCAAAATGGAGGAAATGTCATAAAAAATTTGTGAGGAAATGAGCTGTGAAGTACCCATGACCAATAGCTGCAGAGTAACAGAGCTGGCTATAATTCTGATGCAAGGATCTGGACTCCTCACACACAAATACAGATACATTCGTCAGGGTGCAAGATAAATTCATGTATTTCTGTTGGGATATTCATCCTGACGGTGCCTGACTGGTACCCCTTTTCTGGAGGAACTTACAGTAGAACAGATGCTTAGTGGTAAGGTCTTGTCCAAAGTCTTTACTCAGAAGACGATGAAGCCTATGGTTGCTGGGTCTCTATATATATATATATATCAAGAGAAGCAAATGCTGAACATTGTGCAATTAGAGTATGGAGTTAATACAAGAAAATATTGTGTTCTGTAAACATTTTATGAATAAAATTGGCATCTGCAGGAACGGCACCAAAAGTCAAATGGCAGATACATAAAATCAGACTCTGGTATAGGCACAGCATATTTGGATCCTAGGAATTCCATGGCCACACAACAAAGCCTTGCATACAATATTTATAATGGTGCAAATTAATTAGCCATAATCTTTCTAGGAAAAAAACTGAGATGTTATTTAAGGAGAATTAGAACATATAGATTCTCTCTCATATGCAGCTGCATCAAAAATAGGCTTGATTATATTGTAAATTATAATACGGGCTGGCTAAAGTGTTGATGGGCAATTTAGACCTCCCCCTTTACAGCCCTCCTCTTTTTATGTATGAATCGTTATTGAAAATGACTCGTTTCTGTGAAAGTGTTATTTGTAGCTATTTGCTAGATGGGCTATTTGACTAGTCACTACATGTTGGTGGAATGCGACTGATTACCCCTGTATCACCTGGGATTACTTCTGCTCTCTGATAGGGTGGAACTTTTAGCATCAAATGAATAGTAAATACTCTTGTTCCCATATGCAACAATCTGTTGATTGCAGGCAAAAAGGGACATTTATATGAAGAACAATTCTTACCCAATACATTAGCTGTCAAAAACGTGTTCACAAATGGCATAGTACTCTTAGTATTTCCCATTTTTCATGTCTGAAGCTCAAAAGGATAAATTGGGTGAAGGCTCGAAGTCACTTTTCCTAAAATTCAAAATAGCTTCTTAGCATTATGTGCAAAGAGCCTGTAGCCCCCCCCCAAACCCATTTTTACAAACTATTTGAGGGCACAGAGGCTGCACGTTTTAGTTGAGAAAAAAATCATAAAAATATTCATGTTCCTTTCATGCACCATAGAGTTGTTTACAGAACCTGAAGCAGCAACGGTAAAAATCACCCGATAAGGCAGTGCACTGTGAAAAGGAGTGTTATGCTCCATGCGAGTGGATTCCATTTGTGAAGGGCATGCCTACTAACAGCTAAGAAAAGATTCTGAAATATGATAATATTTTGAAAAGGTCACTAGGCAAACCACTGTGCAGTGTGTCTGAGTGCAGGCATATTGCGGGGCATTCAGCCGTAACATCCTCGGAACTCACTTTCTAACTACTGCTGTTTTTACAACAGGCCTACGTGCATTAACTAAACACTGGGTCAAAATTATTTCTTCTGGAATTCATGGCCAATCTAGCTCCAAGGTGGTGGGTATGGCATGAAGACTGTCTCAAAATATGCCGAATGGATGAGAATAGCACCTGCCAATGATTTTCATTTCAGTCTCCTGATAGAGCACAAGGAGAGCGTGCTGTACTCACCCGCATCAGTTTACTTCTCATATTTCAGTTGTCTGCTTGTTGATAATAGGACAATTCTCAGTAACTCTTCAATATTATGTAAATCTCTGTATTCTAAGAGCCATAAGTGGTTAATCAAAGTATAGGGATGCAGACAGAAATTGTCTTAACCACCATGCAGTCTGACTATGGGAGTCTAAAGTTGGCTGCTTGGCATTTAGTTGTCAAGTAACTGCTGAAGCAAGGATATTCAGATATGATCATCTCTAGCTTTTCAGCTTTCAGATAAAGCAATGAACAGAGTAGCATGTAGTCTGGCTACAGTGTAAAAGCAGGGCTATAGAGTTGCACAGTGGGCCTCAACCTGATGCTGAACATTCTTGTGTGCCATCCTTTCACTCTTTGTATTCCAAGTGTCCCTCTCTAGAAAGAAGCCTCCATCGTGGTAACGTTAGCTTGATCTGTGGTGCAATTACAAGCTCTGTTCATACGGAACCAGCACTGAATTCCTCATGCTGATAAAGTGCTTCTTTCAACCAACCCAGAATTCATTCCTCAAGACAATTGCATCACCTAGAAGTCTCATGAAATTGCACTATAAATCTGTCCCCAGCCATCGCACCGCATAGATCCCTGCACAATGCTAAAAATAGACTTGGACACAACCAAGGCATTCGGCTGATCAAGTTCACTTTGTGTCCTACCACTTCACTTTAAAAAAGGTACAAGTTGTGCATGTTGGATGAAGGCAAGATTTTCTTCTGCATTCAGGCCACGCTACTTTATCCTTGCGCTCCATGGATTTCTTCACAAAGAATCAAGCAGTTGTCCTCCAAGTCTCACCTGATGGCATTACTGGGAAGTTGGTGTTAGGTTGCTTCACAGAGGGCATGTTGTTCACAGAGTTGCTCATTTTGCTTGCATTAGGCCAAATGGCTTTGATGTCCTTGCTATACATGTCTGGAAAATTACCACTGTATGATTTGGGACACGTCCTGTTCAAAAATCTCTCTACATGCTACCCCCAAAATTCCCTTTCTTCAAGTAGGGACACCGACCCTGCCCTAGCTCAAGTAAGGTATCTCCAATTTGACGTGACCGTCTATTGTAGAACATGAAAACTTGGTTAGATTCATGGTTAGTAGTGTTTTACTTCTAAGGTGGTAATTAGTGCACAGGCTTTTTTAATCAGTTCTCAATTGACAGGGTCTTCAGAAAGGAATGCAACCAAGAGACACCTATTGACAAATCTGAATTCTGCCACTTGGAGTAAGCGTACAAAGTGCCTGCAGAAACTAGTATGTAGACAAAGCCTGTATGTGCTAAGCCGCCGCATCACTTTCAGTCTACAGAAGGAAGATTTTTTTTTATGTGCAAATGTTATGGGCACAGCTAAAAACTAAAACTGGCTCCATGTGTCTCAAGAAAAAAGTGAGTAGTTACAATACATAAATAGTTCATATGCACAAGTTCTAGAAATTGACTTATTTAATACAGTAATCCATTTCTTTACTTTAATACAAAGTGACATTTTTGTTTTTAGTACAGAAAATCCAAGTCAGAATCGTACCGTTCTGTTTCAATTGTACCGTGGGAGTCCAACTCTGACCTCAACTTAAAAAAAAATATATAACTGCTGTCCCTCAACATGTGAAGTATTTTAACTAGTATTTTAACTACATTTCCTATATTTATTTTTAAAAAGTATTTAGAACTATAAAACAGTATCTGTAAAACAGAAGTTAAAATTTAGGACCAAATTTTTCTTTGAAGAACTGTACAAGAAAAATCCCTTTTTTAATTAAAAACTGCAAATAAAAATGAAACTACACAACTATTAGGTAAAACAAATACTTCTTGCTACATAATGAAATGTTAGGAACAGTCACCGAGAAACAGTTAGACTAAAATGATACTTCAAAAGAATTGAAGTTCAGTACCTACAACGTGACATACAGTTTAGAGAGACAGAAAAACTTCTTGTTAGGAACACAGACTTAGAAGTGCAAAAACAAAAAGGATCTGATACAATGGAGTTTGGTACAATGGGGTACATACGTCTTGTAACCAAAACTAAACAATTGCGTATTTGTTGACAGTGACACCACCAACAATTATGGTACCTCTCTAAAGGCTTTCAATCAAAGCCCTAAAACTGTGACTGTTCTTTTATTAAATAAAAATCTATGTGAATGCTACACACTGAAGTACGACATTTAAGAATTACCCTGCAAAATTGCACCAACATAAGCTTTCAATATTTACAGTCTCTAAAAGTGACACAAATAGCATGCTAGGCCTAGTTATCGACTCTCCCCATGTCTACTTAATCCAGGCCCAACAATCAAAAATTATTTCTCAACACACATTAAGCTTAGAGTGATCTGATATATTATGATGTTTAAATATTCGATCCATGCATAAAAACAAAAAAACAGTATCCATGACAGACAAATGTTTGCATTTTATCAACAGTGGTCGGCCCTGTAGAGGAGTGCACTTCCTTCTGAGCTCACTCCCAAAAGGTACCATTCACAAAACCCATGCGATTACCCGGTAGTTATGTCAACAGCGGCTTTGGAAATGGTCAGAAATACAAGGTAGAATCACACTGCCCACAACCATTCATTCATATGCAGAAACGTCACTCCATTTTGGAGATATGCCTTGTTTAGGGGAAAAGCAACAAACTTAAAAAAAAAAAAGACATTCAAGTAAACAGCAACAACCAAATACTTGGAAAAGGTTTTTGTAAACTTGTCATTCTAAAGGGTTTTTGTTTCGCAGCATCACTAAATAAATCTCATATGAAAAAGTACACCTACGTCATACCATCCTGTTCTGTATAAAAGCACACCATAAGATACAAGTTCTTCTGATGAAGTGATCTATCCCTTCCAACACACCTTGTGGATTTTTTTAATTCAGTGTATCACTCCCCTTCATGGAAAAAAAAAATCAATCATTTATATCTCTATACAGATATAAATGGATAGTATCCATTGGATGAAAAAAGCCAAATGTGAAGTACATCTGAAGAAGAGTATCTATAGTGGGCCAGCTGGAATCCACAGGACTTTATTTTGTTCTTGATCAACAGTTGTCATAATCTGAGTGCAAATGCTTGAAAGGGCTCCTCCCTGGACAATACCTATAAAAATAATTTAAAAAACCACCAGAGTCACACACATCAGACACTGGAAAAAGCAATTCTTAGCCAGGTATTCTCCTACATAGTATTTATCAATAGATCATAAATAAATTAACCACTAGA